AGGGAGGGCCGAGGGCCTGGCCAAGGGAGGCAGAACTGGCCCAGGCAGGGAGCAGAGACCTGCATGGGGGGGAGGGGGCTGGGGTCTCCCTCCCCCGCCCGCCCCTCCCCCGGCCCGGCCTTGAGCGGGAAGGGAAGCAAGCCGGCCTCTCCTCCCTCGCCATCACGTCAGGGCTCCAGCATCCATCCGAGGCGGCCGAGGCCAATCAAAGCCAGATGTGGAGGCAACACAAGAATGCTGATGATTCTGACTAGGAAAAGCCCTATTTACCAAGAAATAATGAAGTGATTTGGGGGATTGGTGCTGGGATGACCTCAGTCGGGAAGGAGTAAACGCAGATGCCGAACTGGTCTCCCAGGGCCAGGCGGGGAGAGAGCAGGGCTAGGGTTCCCGCGGGCAGGCAGTGGGGCCTTGGCAGTGGGTGCTGCTCCTGTGGGCAGACCTGGGGGGGATGAGGCCTGGCCCCTTCGTTTGCCCTGAAAGCTGTGGAGCCTGGGGCCAGTGAGGGCAGCAAGAGGAGCCTCCCTGCAGTGCAGCTTCGGTGGGAGGCCCGGGGCAGCTTGCAAGGCAGGCGTCGGGAGAGGAGGGCTCCTGCTTTGCCCTGAAGGGACTTCGAGTCAGTTGCAAAGATAGGACAGGCACCTGCACGCAGGGCGACCAGGGCTCAGCCCAGGGCCCCCGGACGTGTGGGGAGCAGCCCATACTCTATGGGCCCCACACCTGGGCAAACAAGGATTCCTGAGTGTGCAGGCGGGGTGGCGTGTTAGGGGAGGGGGCCCCAGGTGCAGCCTTCAGGGAAGGAGCAGCACAGGGGCTGGGGTCCCTGGGGGGGCTGAGACCCTTCCCTGCGCCAGCCTCGGGGGACTGGAAGCTCCCAACCCTCATGCCCCGGCTCTGTCCAACCCCACCCTGGTGCTCGCCTGGTCCAGGCCTCGGTGGTGGGGACGGCAGAGGGCACGGCTCATCTCTGTGCAGCCTCCTTAGGGAGAGAACTGGCTTTCCCCAGGGGGAAGGGCAGCCCCGCTGGCATGAAACACTCCAGGGGAAGCACCCAGTCCTCCCCGGGGGGCAATGCAGACACGTGTGCACCAAAACAACCCCAGTGTCTGCCACTGAGAAGAGATGAGCCGACTTGGAACCCACCATGGAACATCACTGGGCCTAACACACGGCATCCTGATGCGTGCGACATAGACCCACTGGGGGGCATCATGCCGGCCCCCGGAGATGGCACAGGGCAGGACCCCATGTGTGTGACATGCCTGGGACAGGCAAGCCCGCAGACATGGAGAGCAGATCTGCGGCCGGCAGGGGAGGGGTGGGGGAGCGAGGAGGGCTGGCCGTGGGGCGCAGGGCAGCTTTCTGGACAACACAAACATGTTTTAAAATGGATCAGTGATAGAGACACAGCTCTGCGAATGTACTCAGACACCTCACGACATACTTGCAGTGGGTGGGTGGTAGGGTATGTGAGCTATGTCTCAATAAAGTCGTTTGAAGATAGAAGAGGACGTGCATGCCCTGCCTGCCCTGCCCTGTGCGCCGGGAGGGAGGCCCCGGGTCAGGCGCACAGCCTCAGCTCTGGCGGGAACGGGGGGGCCCGGGGCGGGCAGCTCACCACCCAGCACCTCGCCCACGCCTCACCCGGCTCCAAACTCCCAGGGTGGGACATGGGGCCATCACGTCTGGCTCAGCGGGCTCCCTGGGTTTGGCGGTTCCCCAGTTATGCTCCTGCACCCGCATCCCCTTGCACAAACCAGCAGAATTTAGGGTCACATGAAAGCCGGGAAGTGGGAGGGGGGCCCCAGAGCTGCCTTCCAGAAGGCCTGGGGGGTGGGGAATGAGAGGAAGTGCTGTGTGTGCATCCCTGGGCCTAGGTCCCTTGCTGGGGCATGGGGGCCAGGGGAAGGGGGCTCCTGGGGAGGGGGTACGCAGGGAGGCTGGACAGCAGGGAGCCCACCCGACAGGGCGCTGGGGGGGGGGTTTGGGGCTGCAGGAGCTGTGGGGGACCCTCCCCCCTTCCCTCCCTCCCAGCAGAGGGCCCGGCCAGGCGGGTGGGTGGGGTGGGGTGGGGGCCCCTGCCCCTGCCCGGCTCCAGGCTGTTATCTGCAGTCTGTGACTTAAGCCATGTCTTAGGAGCTGGGGAGACAGCGTGGTGCAGCCAGCCCTGGGGAGGACTCGCCGGCCCTCGAAGAAGAAAACCAGCCGCTGGCGGAGAGACTGTGACCAGATGGGTTTCCGCTCTGTCCCGGCGGCCTGGGGCGGCTGGGCCTCACCTGGAGCTGCTGGGGGGGTCTGGGATGTGTCCCTGGGGGCCCAGGGCCCGCCCGCCGCAGCTATAACTCATCAGTACAGACCAGGAACTGAGCAGAGCGGCAGTCCCCAGGGCCCTTCCCGGCCCCAGCCCCCCTCGGCCGGCCCTGCCCTGCCCCGCTGGCCCCTGCCTGCCTGTAACCTGGCGTCCCCCGGTCTCTCATTCCCTCTTGCTAAGTAAACAGACCTCCCACAGGGCGACAAAGGAACATCACAGAAGATGGGGGGCTTGAGGAGGGAGTAGCACTGGGGGCTCTCACTCTTTTCCTCTGTCCACACACTTCCCCCACAAGCTGGGGCCCGGGACGCTCCCTGCAGGACCATCCCCACAGGAGGGGGACTCGAGGCCCTGGGGTCAGTGCCCAGCCCCATGTGAGGGGTCCACCATGTGGGAAACCCCTCCTATGGTGTCCCGCTGCACAGGACGGGGGACACTGAGTCACGGCCAAGACAACCACACAGCCATTGTCTCAGGGGCAGAGATGGAGGGGCCTCCATCGAGGGAGCAGCCCGGAGGGGAAGGGGTGTCAGGCCAGCTCCTGAGGCTCTGGGCCTGGGGGTGGGGTGGAGCACCCCCTTCCCCCCGCCCCTCCATCCGGCTGCAGGCCCACTTCCTGGATTCCTGAGGACCTGCAAGGCAGCCCCCACCGCGGCCCTCCTCCCGGTCCGTCCATGCTCATTCCCAGGGGCCCATCCCTGCCTGGGGCCCCGTCAGCCCTGGGGTGCTGGGGACACCAAGGACACAGCGGCTCCCCACCCCTTCCTCGTGGCCCAGGCCTCTGGGGGTGGAGTAGGGGGACGGGGGTCTCGGGGAGGCTGCAGAGCGGGGCGCCAGCAGGGAGGCCAGCTGGCGGAGGCGCTGGGCTGCGTCTGGGGTGTGCGTGGCGGCCCGTGCTGGACGTGCTTGGATGAAGGATGGGATTCCTCTCCCAGCCTTGAGTTGGGGTCCTCAGGGCCGCGAGGCCCCATGAATTATTTCTCTACGGAGAATACCGTTGACTCTGCTCTCCGGTCGCCTTCCGGACCTTCCCCATCACTTTAAATCAATGCTGAAGGGCGGCGTCTGCCCGGACCTTCACCCTCCAAGTGGAGGGAGCTACGACCCACGTGACGCTGTCCCCGGGCTGGGTGTCCCTCTGGGCGGAAGGGGGGTGCTGAGCCGGCTCCTGCAAGGCCCTCAGAGGTCACAGGAAGGAGGGCAGCGCTGGAGGACAGGACTCCCCACAGCCTGGTGGCACCCACGTCCTACCCCAGGGGCCACGTGGCCGACTCTCCTGCACACCCCAGTGCTCTCTGGTTTGCTCCCAGACCCCTAGGCCCAGTGGGTCACCACAAAACCCATGTGCACGCTGCCAATGCTCCCAGCTCTGCAGCCTCAGCCCCGTCACACTACCTGCCAATTGGGGAACAGCACTGGGGCCCACGGGGCACCCACCACAGGGGCCTGCAGTGCAAACAGGGCTGCTGGATGCACACACTGCAGGCTCCCAGATACCGTCTCCTTCCCCAACTGTCCACCCCAGGGAGCCGATGACCACTGACCACACCAACTCATCCTCAAGCCTTCAGGCCAGTGATCCCACCACCCCCACTTCGTCCTCCGTTTCCAGCATCTCCCACCCTCTGTGCACTGCTTCGTGCTGGGTTGGCATCTGCTAAACATGCTTCCTCTGGGTCCCCCCATGGACACCTCCCCACTCGAGAGCCACCAGTGCTGCCACCCTAGACCCTCAGCAGGACGGGCTCCCTGCCCATGGTGCTTGCCCCACCCCACCTCACAACCTGCCTGACACAACCTTCCCCACCAAGACCTTCGCCGTAGGCTCACGGGGCCAGAAATGGGTCACATGGTTACAGTCCCCACAGGCCCTGCTCCGTGCCTGCAGCCAGGTGCTGTGTGTGCCGTGTGCCATGGGGCACAGCCCTGCACAGGGACATGTGGGACAGAGGACACGGAGCCTGTGGCCTTGCTCCACACGCAGGACTTTATTTGGACTGGGGCCGTCACAGGCCGAACCAGTCGGGGACGCCACCGCGCCGGGGATCGCGGGTCTGCCTCCGCCGCTGGTCCTCCAGGAGCTGGTCCCGGATGTCATCGTCACCAGGGCTGCCGTCAGGGCTCTTTTTCTCAGGAAACAGATCGGGGAACGTGAAGGTCTGTCCGTGCGCCTATGGAGCAAAGGCAAGCAGGGCAGCTCTGAGCCCGGGAGCCTTCTCACAGGGGGCGGGGTGGGGGGGACGGGTAGACGGGACCCTCCTGCCCCAAGGCCCGGGACGGACACGCGGCCAGCATGTCCAGAGCGATGTCCCTGCCTGGAAAACAAACATGTCGGCCGGCCGCTGGCTTTTATCTCACAGCGGGAAACCATTACTCTGGACAATGCCCCTTTTCATCGACATTATCTCTTTATGGAGTGGCGTCTGCACCGGCGGGAGCCTCATTAAAAGCAGCCCAGCAAAGCGCCCATTCACGGGCGCGGGGCGCGGGGGCAGCGCGGGCGGACCGGGGGGCAGGAGCGAGGCACGGGAAAACACGGCACAAATGATGTCTGGTGCCACACTGAAACTTTTTCCATCCAAAATACCTAAAGGCCTCTGCCCACATTAAAGGCTGCCCCTCCTCCCGGCTAGGAGCTTGGCAAATAAAACGCATAGAACGTACAAAGAAATGTACATATGCAGCAGTCTATAAATCAAGACCGGCTTTGCAAATTAACTGGTTTTACATCTTTCACTAAAAGTTCAGAATGTGCCAGTGTCGGCCAAGCCCCAACCCAGACCCCCGAGCACGTGTGTGGGGCACCGGGCTGGCCCCTGCTGCAGCGGAGGAGGGGGCAGCTCTGAGGTGCCCTTTCAGTCTGCTGGGTCCCACGGAGCAGCCCCCCGAGATCAGGGCATGAGAGGGGGCGCGCGCCAGAGCCGCGCTGTCTGTTTCCAGACGGGCAAAGGATGGAGGACGGCATCCGTATCTGGAAAATTTTAATAAGTAAAATCAGTAAAGTGCGCTGGTTCTTGGAGACCCTTGTTTTGTAAAGAAATTTGGCTTTGGGCAGGCAGCCAAGTATGATCTGAAACAGCCCGCACGCCCCACCCGAGAAGGGAAGGTTTATAAATTCTGATCACATGGCGCGGAGCGCGGGCCCGAGTGAAGAAAGCAGGGCTGTGTGCGCTCAGTAGCCAGCCTGCACCAGGATTAGCTTACACAGCTCAACACTGCTTTTTTTTTTCTTTTTTAAAATACCAAAGGGCAATAGTTTACATGCAAGGCTGATTGCCCAGAACGGGGATTTATGTTTAATATATCGAGGTGATTTTGCTAGTTTTCTGAGGTGGGGGAAACCCAAAATGACATTTTAAAATATAAATACAAAGATGCCAATTTGCAACAGCTCCGGAAAAACGGAGGGAGCCGGTGAGAGAAATTCTTCACTTTTCACCAGAGACAAGAGCCACTTGTGGGTGCCCCTCTCCGGGGAACTTCACCTTGTACTTTCAAAAGTAAACCCTCAACCCCCACCCGCCACAGTGGAGAGCGTGCTGGTCAGCAGAAAAGCGCAGGAAAGGAGCAGTGTGGGAAGCGGCCCCGGGCCATGGCCTGGGCCCCAGAGGGCTCCCGCCTGCCTGGTGACGCTCCTCTGCCGCGTGGGATGCGGGGCCACAGAGATGTGTATCAGGTTGTCGGGGGAAGCGCGGGGCCCCCACCCGCCTGACGGGCTCTTCCGCAGCCGGCAACTCAAAATAGATTCGGAAACTTAATTTGTGTTCGTGATTGACCCTCTGTGTGCTTTACAATTAGCTCTGTTTTTAGAAGCCCCAGAGCGGGGCCCGCAGGGACGCGCTGGGAGAGGTTGGCCCCGGGAGATGGGGGCAGAGAAGAGACCCCTTCAGAGAGGCAAGGGCCCCGGCTTCCTGCCGGTTTCCAGGCCAGACAGAGGCGAGCGGGCCTGGGGGGCGGGGGGGAACACTCCTGAATGTCAGTGGGGGCTCCCGGAACATCAGTGGGGACCAGCGGGAGCCGGGCTGCCCAGCAGGGACGCTGCCCTAGGCTGTGCCGCCTGGTCTCACGGGGGAAGAAAGGTGCCCCCGCGGCAGCTGCACGCAGCAGATCTAAGCGGGAAGAATGCAAGGGTTCGGGTGACTCAGAAGCCACTTGTCACCGTCACTGGCCCACGGAAGGCCTGGTGGCGAATGCCGGCACAGGGGGTGTCAGCCCGCACGCCATGACAGAGACAGATGGCCCAATTTCACACATAGGACACAGACGCCTTTATATGGCCAACGGGCGCTCTCTCCACCTGGATTGGCTGATTATATGCACAGCAAATATTAGGCCAAATAATTAGGGGGGCCCCTGTTTAGAACAACAACTGTGACTGTTTTTCAGAAAAGCTGCCACGCTGACTGGGTCTCTTAACAAACTGCCTCCTCATGCTCAAAATAGGTCTGCAGGCCCCGGGGAGGTTTTCACAATAGCGCTACTGCCATCTAGCGGCCACGGCCAGCCGCCTCCCGCCGCAGGCTCCACTCTGGCTGTCCACCCTGGGATGGAACAATCTGGAAGAACCCCCCCATTCTCCTCCAGGGGTTTCAAACAGCAAGGGCAGCTAAGGGACCCTGCAAGCAGGGCCATCCCTGGCAGGTTTGCATGGAGGTAGCGGGGGACCCGGCCGTCCCCTGGAGGGCTCATCTGCAGAAACACTTCTGGGCTGGAAGGGGAGAGCCTGAGCAGGGGCCCTGAAGTCATGCTCTGGGCTGGCAGAGGCTCAGATGGGGCACTGGACCCTCCCCCACACCCCAGGCCAGGCAGGAGACACGGTCATGAGAACCCGACAGACTGTGCCACAGCCCCACGGCCCCGTCCAGAGGGGAGGGGGCTCCACCAGGACCCAAGGGCATAGCAAACGGGTCCAATGGAGACCCAGGCCCCTGCAGCAGCTTTAACTCAGGGCACCAATGGCCTCCCCGCTGGGGGCTGCCCGCCCTGCAGGGCTCTCCAGAAGCAAGAGCTCTGGCTTCTGTCTGAGCCCCAAACTCCTGGGCCTGAGTGGACCTGCCTGAGCCCACAGCACGTTCAAAGTCCAAGGGCACGACATGGCTGGCCCCGGAGAAGTTCCAAGATGCCCCGCACTGTCTCCTCCCATGAGCTCTGCCTGGGGCTGCCGGGGATTAGGACGAAGCACAGGCTCTGCCCCGCGCCCTGGGCCTGGAGATCCTGCCTCTCAGGGCCTCCTGGGGCCCCAGGCGGGGCCGCTGCGCAAACACGTCCCCCGCACCAAGGTCACGGTCGTGATAAGTCACGCCCAGGACTTGGGCCTCTGCCCGAAGCCCACTCACCAGCTGCACATAGGCCACCTTGTAGTCTGGTTTCTTCATCCTCACGTTCCTGTAATCCCTCTTCCTGTTGGAACCTGTTGGGGGTGTGTGTGTGGGGGAAACGACACATTGTATTCTGAGCACGAGATTTTTCAGCCCAACTCATCCAGGACCCACTTTCTAGAAAGAGGCAAACATGTAAGAAATGGTTGGTGTCCCACGAATGATAGCACGTCACACCCGAAGTGTGACCATGTTCACATTTACAGGCCATGTTCCAGGAGCACATGCCACTACCGCGACCCTCTGCTCTGCTAAACACCCAAAACGTGTCTAAAATAAGTTAAAAAACTGACTTCTATTCGTCGGCACCGCACCCCTCATGGGCTGCCTCCCTCACGGGAAGGCTGCATACTTACACCTCAGGGTGTGGTGGGGGGATACAGGGTTAAGAGGAACAAGGAAGTGCTCTGCTGCCCCAGCTTCCCAGCTGGACGGGGAAGGGCACCCTGTCTGTGGTGTTCGGAATGAGGCCTCGTGAGCTCCAGGGGTGTTTGGGGGGCTGTGGGGGAGCCCCCCCACAGCAGGGCAGCAGGGCCAGCACGCACCATGCTGCACCCTCGTCCGCACGGCAGCCACGGGTACGTTGTAGATGCGCTCTAGGTAATTCCTCAGGTCCACCCTGGTCATCCTGGGGTAGAGAAGGAAGGTAAGCATGTCCCAGCCAGGCTGAGATGACAAGTGGCCACCTGTCCCCCACACAGGAAGGGGGGGCTGCAAGGGGCTTGTGCTCACTTGGGGCTGGGCTCCTGGGCAGAGCTCTCCCCAGGGAAGGGTCAGTCTGGGGGGCGCCCCAGGACTCTGGGTGCCCACTGGGGCCGGTCCTGTCTGCAGCCCACCACCAGGCCATTTCCTAGAAATGGGGGCCCAGGGGGTGGGGAGTTAGGCCCCCTGGCCTTTTCTCCTGAAGTGGCATCATCACCGCAGCCTGGCCGTTCCTCCCCGCCTCTAAAGGCTGCTGCTCAAGTCAACCCCGGGACCATGTGCCGGGGCCATCACATCCTGACACTTCAGAGTAGCGCCCTGCAGCCTAGGGGACAGGATGCTGTGTGCCTCTAGTTGCCGGGGCCTCTGTGAGGGAACCGCCTGGAAAACTAGGGTTTTGGAAGCTGTGGTAAGAACCTCCAAGAGCCTCGGCCCAGCTGCCTGGAAAGAGCACGGAGCTCAATGCAGTTAAAGAAGTGCTAGGCTCTCCATTGGGCTTCCCTGGTGGGGAAGGGGTGGGCGTGTGCGGGGGGGGGGGGGGCAGCCCAGCCTCACCGGAGGCTCTGCAAACAGCAGGCCCTCGGTCAATATTTGCAGAGCAGCTCGGAGAGCCGCCTGTGGTGTTTTCACAGCGGGGAGAAGCCACACATAGGAGCCAGGTTCTGTGACACCACCAGGACTGCCCCAGTAGGGAGGGGGGGTACTCCCCAGCCTGAATTCCTCAGGGGCTTACTCCATGGGGATCCGGAACTGCACGGTGTCCTCGGGCTGGGCCGTGCCGGGCCGCACCAACTGAATGAAGAAGTTTGTTCGGAACACGCGGAGCTGGGGGTTGCCCAGCTGGTACAGAGGGTACCTGAGAGCAGGGAGAGATTGATCTGTATCAAACATTCAGAACCCCAAGGGCGCCCCCAGCAGACCTCCGTGTGTCTACCCACAGCAACAGCAGTGAGAAGCAAAGGGGGGGGGGCGGTTCCTACAGCCCAGTGCCCCCACAACCCCCCTCGCTCACTGGTCAGATCTGCCCAGGGTGGGCACCAAGATCCCTGGTGCCCACCAGCTCGACCAGTGGGGGCTGCTGGACCTGAGGGCTGGCCTCTGGAAAGGGTCAATGAGTGACTCAAGATATAGGCCAGTAGAGAGCATGTGCACCATGGCCCCCCCAAAGATGCTGGTGGCCAGGATTGTTTAAAGTGATGGTCCCACAGGCAGGCTGCCGGCTGCAGAGTCGCTCCTAACCATGGCTTACCCCGCAGCACAGGCTGGGGGATCACTTGCACAGTCTCTGTGTGGGTGGGAGAGGCACCAGTCACCTCGACCACTTACCCCCCGCCCACGCACTGTAAAAGCCCCCAGAGCAAGCAGAGGCAGCTGGGAAGCAGTGAGAGGCCACCGCCCAGTGCAGAGCAGCCAGGTGAGGGTGCCTGCAGTCTGCAGGGTCTGCATGGAGGCAGAGGGCCGGGCCGCGGGGAGGGTGGGTGGGCACGCAGGGACACAGTGTCATCAGGGGGCTCAGCCTGGTCACCCTGCTACCTCTCTGAGGCACTGCACGTGGCCCCTGATCTTGGGGCACAACCAGCATCATGATGGGTTCAAGGAGGCCAAACGCTGTGCTGGGCAGGATGAGCAGAGCCAGGGGGTGAGAGGCCCTGGGTGAGCCTCAGGGGCGCTGCGAGGTGCGGGGGCTCTGGGAAGGCAAGACTGGGGCCCCGACCCTGCAGCACCCAGTGGCTGAGGGCCGTCTGCTCGAGGTCTGCCAGGGAGCGAGTCGGCTGGTACCGGCAGCAGCCCCTGGGTGGGGGTCTCCGGCACAGGGTGGGCAAGGGCGGGAGGCGGCTTCTGATGGCCAGGCCTGCCTTGTTTCCTCCTCCAGCGCAGTCTGGGCCAATGGCCGGCCACCCGAAGGGGCTCGCTTATTCCCCCTGGTGCCCGACGGCGGCACTGCAGGGGGCGAGGGCGAGGGCGAGGGCGGGCCCCCGGGGGAGCCGCGCGGTCGGGGCCGGGCCCTGACCCTCCACGTCTCCGGGTCCCCGGGCCGCCGGTGGGCGGGGAAGGGCTAGCCCCGGGCGCCCCTGCGCCGGAACACCTGTGCTCGCCCCGCACGGCCTCGCCCCCCGCCCGCCCGGCCCTCCCGCGGGTCCCACGAGCCCGACACCCGCGAGGCTCAGGGCCGCTGCGCGCTTCTCCCGCGCCCGACCCAGCGACCTGGCCGGCTGCCATCGGCTCTAGCTCCCCCGGCCCCGACAGTGACTCACCCGCCATCCCGCCCTCCCCGCCAGCACGCCCCGCCGGCTCTCCTCCGGCCCCGCCCGCTCCCGGGCCCCGCGCACCTGCCGGGGCGCCCGCGCCCCCGCCCCCGCCCCCGCCCCCGCCCCCGCCGGGTCCGGCCGCGCACCCACCGCCGCCGCGCATGCGCGCACACGACACTCGTCACGCTAGGGCCACGGGCGCAGCCCTCCTGGGGGGCACTCGTGGTTCCCGCCGCGCCCCCCGCCCCAGACCGCACGGCGCCCCGCCCCCCGCCTCCCCCGCCTCCCCGCCTCCCCCGCCTCCCCCGCCTCCCCCGCCTCCCCCGGCCCCCAGGTCCGCGTCCCGGCCCCCGGCAACTCACAGCACATTCCGCGCCATCGCCGGCTTCCGGGCCGCGGGCGGAAGGAGGGGCACGCACGGCCCGCGTGGGCCCGTCACAGCGCCCCCTGGCTTCCGGGAGGGCCAGCGACGCCCCGCCCCCCGCCCCGCCCCCCGCCCCGCCCCTTGCACCTGTCGCCCCTCCCCCGTCCACCTGCCCCGTCGCCCCGCCCACTGGGTCTCCCTACCCACCGCGTCGGCCCCGCCCCGCCCCTCCCTGTTCACCTGAGCCATGGCCCCGCCCACCGACCCCCCCACCCCGTTCACCCGACCCGTGGCCTCGCCCAGCGCACCTGCCCACACCGCCCGCCCACCACCTAGCCGACCACCTTTCACCCGTACATCCACCCACCGCTCTGCCCACCGCACCTGCTGGACTGACTGCACCTGCCTCATTCTTCCCCACCTTCCTGTCTTACTGTCCCTGATCCCAGTCCCTACCCCACTGCCTCTGCCCCACCCACTGCCCTTGACCCACCCACCTGGCCCCTACCTGGCCTGCACACCCTGTAAGAGCCCAGAATCTGTCATGCTCCTGGGTCTCTCCATAGTCCTTCACATCCTCCAAGTGTCCAGAATCCATCTCTCCCAACCCCCTCACTCTGCCCAGGCGCCATCCACTCCCTGCCCCTCACACCCTGTCCATTCTCTGCAGCACCCCGTTAGTCCCACACACCCCTCTGCACCCCACACTACCCCACATGCCATGCCCTGGTGCCCACAGCAACTGTAGATCATGGCGGGCCACCCTTCCAGCTGCTGGTGGAGGTGGGAGATGACAAAGTGGGGAAGAAGCAGGTGGGTGGGCCTAGCCAGGGTGGCTCCATCCCCTCCCTGATCTGGGGCTCCAAGGCCCCTCACAGCCTAGAGGCATCTTCCCCTAACCCCTTCCCCTTACAGCTTCTCACACAGCCCTCACTCAGGGGAGCCCCACTTCCGTAGGGCACTTCTGGGACCCACTACCTCTTCCCCACAACAGCATGAAGACCTGTGGGGAGGACCAGGCCCCTAGGCCCCACTCTTCCCCAGTTGCTTGTGCTCCATGGCTCCTGGCCATTCCTCAATCCCTTTAGCTGCCTCTCCCCCCAAAGACTGGCCTGTTCTCTGCACCAACTTCAACTTTAGTGCTCTTCAGAGCCAAGCCGGGAGGGTGTGAGGAGAGTGTCAGGAAATCTGAGGGGAGAGAAGGGACACCCCCCCCCCCCAGGAATCGGGATGGGTCTCACTTCTAAGGTGGGGATGGACCATAGGGAGGCCACAGGGGGGCTGGACCTGATGGCTGCCCAAGGCTGAGAAGAGGAGGAACTGAGTCATGGAGAGGGACTGGAGGGTCCTCCTTCTCCCTCTGTTTGACCTAAGTGGGTTCACCCAGGATGAAGGTACTAAAGATGAGGAGGGGGTACTAGGGGCAGGTTAGCTAAGACAGTGGGATTCCCCTGCTGGGAGAGGGAGGGCCCCATGTAGGAAGAAGTCAGTGGGGAGGGGTCACGCTGGCTGAGAGCAAGAAGGATGGAGCTGGAGTGTGGGCATACCCGGACCAGGAGACTTCTTTTTAGGAGTGCTGACTCTGGCCATATTTGAACTCCAAGGCATGGTGTTGCATGTGAAGGAGAGGGGCTCACATCTGAACAGGGTGCTGAGGTCCTCAAGGAGGGCGGGGACAGGGATGGGGTCTCCACGGTGTGGACCCTCAACACTCAGTCCCCCCCATGACTGGCCAACGGGGTTGCTCCCCAGCAGGCCTGGGGTTTCTGAGCGCAGAGGCTGGCCTCAGAGACTGAGGTACCTTCGTGCATCTTCTCCCTTCCTCCTTCTTTGGTGTCATCGGACCCTCCCCATCACTGACTGACAGCATGGCTTCCCTGGGCTAGAGTGGCCAGGTCAAATGAAGAATGCTCCATTAAATTTGAAGCTCTGGTGACTTTTTTTGTTTGTTTTTAATTGTTCTTAATACACATTATTTTTTAGGGCAATTTCAGGTTTACAGAAAAATTACACAAAAAGTACCAAGAAATTCTGGTGTATGCCCCTCCCCTCCCCGACCAGCTGCCCCTGTTGTTAGCATCCTGCTCTAGCTGGTGCCTCTGCTAAGACTGCTGGATTAATACTGATGCCCTACTACTTCCCGAAGTCCACCCTTGATGATGTTCTACACTCTGTGGGTTTAGACGGACGTAGAAGGATGTATACCCACCATTACGGGGCCACACAGAGTAGTTTCGTGGTCCTGAGCCCCTGCGCGCCTCCTGCGCACGCCCCTCGCCCCTGGCAACCACCCATCTCTTTACTCCATATTTCGCCTTTTCCAGAGTGTCTCCTGGTTGGAATCTCCCAGGGCCTTCCCACATTAGCTTCTTTTGTTCAGTACCATCCAGTTACAGTTCCTCCACATCGTTTTATGGCTGGATAGCTAATTTCTTTTTCATATTGATAATATTCCCCGTGTAAATGGATCGCAGTTCAGCCATCCCCCTACCCCAGGGCGTCTTGGCTGCTTCTGAGTTTCACCAATTATGAGTAAAGCCGCTAAGAACATCTGTGTGCAGGTTTCTGCGTGGACATAAGCTCTCAGTTACTCTGGGTAGGTACTGAGGAGCATGACCGCTGGACGGTATGGTAAGAGGAGGGTTAGCTTTGTAAGGAAACACCAAACTGCCTTCCAGGGGGCCGGCACCGTTCTGGTGAGAGAGGGCGGTCCTGCTGCTCCACATCCCAACCAGCGTTTTGTGTTGTCAGTGTCCTGGATTTTGGACATTCTCTCAGTTGTGCAGGAACGTACTTATTTTATTCTCACGTGCATTTTCCTTGGCTACCATCTGACGTCCCCACTGGCAGCCCCACCGGGACCCCGTGCTGGGGACGCCCCAGGAGTGATGTGAGTTGAGCCAGGGGAGGAGGAGCCCCCGGTGGGCCCAGGCAGGAGCCATCGGGTGAGGGCAGCTTTCATGCTGAGCTTTCCAGGCCAGGCTGGGGAGCTGGGGCTTCTTTCAGAGAATAGCGGGAGGCCGGGGGCTGAAGGGGAAGGATGAGGGGAGCTTGGAGGTGACTTCAGGGTGCAGATGAAGGTGGTAGGTCGCAGGAGGGAGGCCATGTGTGCATCCACTCATTCATTTGACCCATATGTGCTGGGAACCTACTATGTGTCCAGCATCTTTCTAGGGGTTGAGGATACAGCACTAAATCGATAAATTCTTTGCCTCCATGGTTCATGTCCCCCGAGGGAGACAAATGACACCCAAGTGTCATAAACCAATGAGATACCTCAGATGCTCTTGGAGATGCATGTAGGGAAGGGTAACAGGAGGTGGGGGGGGACTGTAATCTGAAATGGGGTGGTCGGAGAGCCTCACCAAGAAGTCAGCGTTTCAAACATGAAGGGACAGCAGGTGCAAAGGCCTGGTGGTGGTGCGCAGATGCTGTTGGCCCTCAGGAGCCCCTTGCCACCAGAGTGGAGGGCACCAAATCCTCTGCCATCCCATGTTCATGGAAGGGCTTCCCCAGGACAGGAACTGTGGGTGGAGATGGGGTTGAAAGGCTTCTGGAGGGAGGGGGGTACTGGCTCGCCAACTGTGGTGTCCTATGATTCAATGCAAATCCTACCCTGTCTTCCTGGAGTCAGCTCACTCCCAGGAGACCCTCCCCTTCAGATGCCATCACAAATCCAGGTTGTCACCTGTGCTTCTCAGCGGGGCGGCGGGGTGGGGGGCTATAAATTGGAGGTTCTCACGACCCCTTTTCTGGGTGTTGTTACTAGATCAGCATTTACTTATAAGAGGGATAGGATCAGGAACAGCCAGGTGGAAGAGGTGCTCAGGATGAGTTGTGGGGGCAGCCGTGGAGCTTCTGTGCTCTCTAGGGGTGCCACTGTCCCCAAATATCCACGTATTTGCCAGCTGGGGAGCTCACTGCAACCCTTCCCTGGGGGGTTCATGGAAGCTTCATTACATACCCTGGCTGGTGAGATCACTGGCCTTTGGTGATTCTACCTCCAGCCCCTTGTCCCTCCCTGATGGTCAGGGAACGGGACTAAAGATTCCAAACGCCCTTCCTGGCCCCCATCCCCCATCTCGAGGGTCTTCCCAAAGTCCCCTCATGAGCATACACCCAGCTGTAGTGGAGAGGGGCTGGGTATGCAGGACAGG